ACAAGCCAAAAGCAGAAGCATCTATGGGAACTGGAGTCTGGGATGAGTTATTTGAGGAAAGTGTTTGAACTAAGTACTCAAGAATGAGTAGAAATGAGGTGGGTAAAGGGGGAAAGCACTGCAAGTCAGGAAACAAGAGGTACAAAGGCAAAAGCACTGCAAGTCAGGAAAAAACAGGTACAAAGGAATCAGGTATGACAGGTTAGAGGAACTGAAAGGCCAGGTGGTTAGAACACACAGAGAGTGAGGTGTGTGGTTCATTTCAATTCAGTTCAACTCAACAGACAGTATTAACTGCCCAGTGTTTGACAGTGACTGACAAGATTAAGCTGAGGTAGGCAGGGGCTGGATCATGCAGGGCCTTGTAGGTCACATACAGAATGTGTTTTTATTCTAAAAATGGGGAGCTATTGCAAGGTCTTAAGCATCAGTTTGTGTCTTCCGGCTAACACATGGAGAAGAGATTGGAGGGCTGCAAAAGTGAGTATGAGAAGCAGCAGGAATTGCAATAATCCTGGTGAGAGATTGTGATGATGAAGAGAAGCAGACAGAATCAGGGATTTTTAGAAATTTAATCTGATAGGATTTTGGCAGTTGAGTGAAGGGATGAGTGAGGTTTCTAGTTTCTGCAACTGGTTGAATACCAGGCATAGGAGGAAAAGTTTATCAGAAAACATGTTGAATTGGGATGTTTTTGAAACACCTAAGTGGAGACATCAATCAAGTAGCTCAGAGGAGAGATATGAGTCATCAGTAACTAGGGCTCAGCATGTGGATGAAACAATCCCAGAAAAATTAGACTGAGAAAGAACAGGACCTAGAGAAACTTTTAGATTTAATGGGTGGAGGCAGGTAATCCTACAAAGGAGGCTAAGAAGTTGTGGCCAGAGGTAGTAGTAAAACCATGAGTGGAGTCACAGATACCAGTGAGAGTGTTGATGAAGAACTAGTCAATAGTACCAGATGCCATTGAGAAATGAAGTAAGCTGGGGAAATAGCCACTGGATTCAGGGCTATGAAGGTCACTTGGTGAGCTAGGGTGAGCTCACAAACTATTTCAATAAAGGTTGCTGTGCTGTGCTGTGCTCAGTCGTGTCCGACTCTTTGCAACCCCATGGATTGTAGCCCACCAGGTTCCTCTGTCTATGGGGTTTCCCAGGCAACAATACTGGAGTAGGTTGCCATTTTCTTCTCCTCAATAAAGGTTACAGAAGTCAAAATAGAGTGGGAGAAGGAGCGGGAATAGATAGGACCTAAGTATTAATATCCAACTGTTCTGAGTTCAGCTGTAAAGTGGAAAAAAGTACATGGTACCTGAGAGATAAGAGGGGTCTGTTTGTTTTAATGGGAGCCTTCAGCACGTTTAGACACTTATGATAAGAATTTAGTAAAGTGGGGAAAGACAGAGGTCTCCAAAGAAGGAAGGGCTAGGACTCAGGGCCCAGGCATTGGCACTGGCCTTGAGAGGGGATGCCTGTACTGTTTAAATGGGAGGGAAAGAGGAAAATGGTGCAGATGGAGATGGGTGACCAAGTTGAGTTGCGAGATGTTATCAGAGCTCCTAATTGATAGCTTCCATTTTTGCCTGTGAAGTAAATATATGAGTTTACTTGCAGAAAGCGGACAGAATGGTGGGGATAAGAGGCTTAAGAATATTGGTTTGAAATAGTCATTGCAGGGAACAGGAGAAATGACTAGAAAGATCTAGTGGGATTACAGGGGCAGAGACTCCATTTGAAGTTAACCATGAGCTTCCCTGGTGCCTCAGACAGTAAAGAATCTACCTGCAGTGTGGGACACCTGGGTTCAATCCCTGGGTTGGGAAGATCCCCTGGAGGAGGGCATGGCAACCCACTCCAGTATTCTTGCCTGGAGAATCCCCATGAACAGAGGAGTCTGGCGGGCCACCGTCCATGGGGTAACAAAGGGTTGGATGCGACCGAGCGACTAAGTACACACAGCACACATGGATTCAGTGATAAAAATTTGCTCTACAGTGATTTCCTTGGGCAGCTTTTTTTTAAAGACTCATTCTTTTGACATGAACATTATCTCTACAGTTTGTCCCCAGTCTCTGTGTGTCTGCTTTTTAGTATGAAGACAGAATCCCCTATAGGTGGTAGGTAGCACAGCTGGGGTTGGAGTGTATGGGCAGGAGGTGGGGAGGGGTGACCCCATCCCATAGCTTTTCATTTGGCTGAGCTGGGTCTCAGTTGTAGTATGCAGAATCTTGGCTCTTCACTGCACTATGTGGGATTTTTCAGCTGAGGCATGCAAACTCTCAGTTGTGGCATGCGGGATCTAGCTCTCCAACCAGGGACTGAACCCAGGCCCCCTGAATCGGGAACAAGTCCTAGCCACCAGACCACCAGGAAAGTCCCCCTTGGTCAGTTTTTAGATGTCCAAAGGCAGGCACAAATGTTTCATTTTTATCAAAGTCCAACAGAGATGAAAGGAAATTCAGCTTATTCAAAAAGAATGACTAGAATGAAAAAAAAAATGGTAGAGGAATAGTTCATTAAACAAAGTAGAAGGAATAGTCAGTGAATAAGATGCAATAGTGTTTTGAAGATGGAGCAGTTTAGGGTGGTGACAATGGCCAGCATATAACTAAGCGTGGCTAAGACAGAGCAGAAATCATTGGAGATTGGGCCAAGGAACTAAGAGACAGAAACACAGAATGGACTGTCTGTGTAACATTTAAAGTATCAGGGGATGGATAGGAAGATGAAGGTCTAACTAGAGGAAAGTAGAAGAGTGGCAGTTATTAAGGATAAGTTCTAAGAGAGGGTGGTAGAGTTGAATAGGCCGAAAGGAATTAGACTTGACAAATGAGCGGGCAGTGAAGTTCTAAAGCCACAATGGCAAGAATAACCCTGTCTCAAGTATGTTTGTGAAAAAATGATAAAGCTTGATCAATGTTTATCATTGTGTTGTGCTTGAAATGTCACATTGCTTTCATTATGCCAATGGCTAACACTTTTTATGCCAAGAACTGAGGGAGGCTTCAGTGACAATAGAAGATGGATAGTAGGAGTAAGGTTCTTTTCATAAGTACTGAACATATTTATACACAGAAGAGGTTGAAAGGTTAAGGAACTAACTCATGGATCAGATTGAGAAACACTTATTTTTCCATGCCTAGGGAAAGGATGACTGCAGATGAGCAAACAAATACACACTTTGCAAGTTCGAAGAATATAGACTTGGTAATTCCTTGGCTGTCTAGTAGTTATGGTCAGGGGTTCACTGCCTGGTTAGGGAACTAAGAACCCAGCAAAGGACAAAAAAAGAACATAGGCTTTAAGAGTCAGACAGATCTGTGTTGTTAACCCTTCTCCAGCAATTACTCAATTATGTGACATGGGAACACAGATATTCACATTGGAAGTTTATTGCAACATTTATTACATAAACATTGATGTGGAAGAATCTTTCGACCATCACCACAGTACTCCAGGTCCCTGTTCTCGTCTTTGGGACTTGGGAAATTCACAAGTGGTTTCACCTGCACGTATACTTTCCAAGAGACTTTTTTGGGCAAACATTAGGCCACTCAGTAGGAAAGTTCCCGGTCAACAACTTTTTTGTTAAGAAAGGTTCTTAACAAACCTGTACAAGATTTGTTCCGATAAAGAGAGCTACTTTTCTCCACAGGTAACTGTGTATAAGGTGGGCTTCTGGTACATACTGAATTCTTGCTTCCTCACCTGTTGAGTGAGGGTAATACCTACATCAGAACCTATACAAAATGGGTACTCAAAAGATATTTTGAAAGGCAGCCTGGTGGAGTAAAGAAAACATGGATTTTAAAGTCAGATCTGCATTTTCGGACATGGTCTGTTACTAGAGAATTTCAACATCCTGATATGTACATGGGTGAAAATATCTGCTTTGTGGGTGGTTGTACTTAAAAAAAAAAAAAAAATGGCTACCGTGGGAGCCAATGTCTAAGAACTACTTCCATTTTAAAAATAAAACATGGTCACCTGATATGGAGGAACAGAAGAAAAGTTAAAACAGCCAGAATGACACAAAAGGGACACAAGAATGGCAAGAAAACTCAGTGACGGAGTGATAGGTCATTCAGATTGTTGAATACAGAAGTAAGTTCCACGGAGGGCAATAATAAGCAAAGAGCAGAGGGGCTGGAGCTAGAAATCGCAGAACAGGCACAGTGGGAACACGTAGGAGTGGAGGAAGAGATGGAATTAGGAGATTACAGGCAGGAAGTGAGACATAAGGTGACATTTAAGAAGTCCTGAAGATTTTTACTTTCTTCCCTTTTCTTTCCATAAGCATCACCACCTACTTCTCCCTTAGGTTTTTATCCCTCAAGTCGGGGTGTATTGCAGAATATGGTTTCACAAGTTTTCCCCTTCCTGACTGCTTCTGAAGACAAGAACACAGATTTTCTTTATTTAAAGATTTAACTGCTCATCCTAAGAGGACAGAAAATATTAAGTGAGTAACATCTTGAGGAAGTGGTTGATGTTCCAAAACACCCCTGAATTCTTACAGGTTTCATCTCTGTCTGAGGCTACTGACTTCCCAGGAGGTAATGTCTAAAAGCCCTGTGGATTCTTAATCTGTTTTCCAAGATATCTCCAAGCGAGCCATTTCAGTCAGACAGATTTAAGGACAGCTAGATAGAGTTCCCATTTTCTATCATCGGGGCAACCAACTTGTTGCTATTGCCAGTCTTAAAATTGTACTCTCAGCTCTTGCTTTAACCAGATGCCTGGTTATAGGCTTTCCTTCTACATACAGAAGGCAATTTCTCTGCTTCCAGGGCTGAAGCACTAACTGACAGAATAATAAAGATGGTGCCAACAATGCGGGCAAAACTTCCTTGCCCAGAATATAAACCAAACAGAGGAAAAGTGGGTTTATTAGCTCCAGGAAAAGGAGCAACAGTACCCATCTCTCGGACAACTCCTCACTTGCTACACACAGGCTGCACCCAGCCCTAGGTCCACTGGCTCCTTCAATTCGAGGCTTCATCCAGCGCCTCCTTTCCCGAGGTTTGCGGATGGCGAGCTGCCGGATGGTGAGGCTTCGGGTTGTTCAGCAGCAGCATGTGGCATAGCTGAGGCAGCCTCGTAGTCTGCCATGCGGCGCTGTACCAGGGCAGGCATGAGCTGCACGTAGGCGGCCATGAGGCGGTGATTAGAATGGATCAGCTTTCCGGCACAGCTGTGCAGACATGCCTCCTAGAAGGAAGACAGGATGGAAGCAGAAGTCAACGGAGTCCTGTCAGGTCCTGCCGCAACTCCAGCCTAGGGGCGAGGGTCATAGAAAGGCCGGGGCCAGAGGTAGGGGAAGCGGCGAAAGACAGAAGCAGTATACTGTTAACTCTGAGGATCGAGGGTAATTCCCCTACTCAGTTCCCCACCTAACCTCCTCAGCATCCAGAGCTCGGTGGTGCAGGCTGGGCACGCAGCGCTGGAAGCAGAGTTCCGTCATCCGATTGTAGACCAAAAGGAAGTCCCGCAGCTGAGAGGAAGGGGGACAAGGAACTCAGCAAAGAGGGGCCACATTTTAATTCAAGGCCGCGCCGCCCGAGCTTTCCCAGGACCGCGCCCCACGGCCCGACTTTCCCAGCCCTCAGATGTTTGGCTATTTGGGGTTCCCGATATGCAGACAAGATGCTAGTTGAACGCATGGCCCTAAAGCGACTTAGCTCCCACTCACGTTTCTCAATTGCTGCTGCTGCTGCTGCTGCTCCATCACGCCACCAGCGTGAGCTCTAGGTTATTTCCTTTTCAGCTTCTCGATAACGCCCCGGAAGTGACGTCTACTAGCTCCCTAGGGACAGAAGGGTTGGCTCCAGGATCGCCCTGCCCCAGATGTTAACGTCACTTCCGCCCTCATAATCTGCGACGTGGCCGGCTTCTTCTGCCCGGGTGGGGACGTCACTTCCGCCGAGTCCCTGACCTGCTGCTAGGATCGCGACGGGAACTGGAGCCGGAGGTCCCCGCGCTGCCCGGGCCTGGCGCCCTGAGGGGAAGAGCGGCCCGGCCCGAGGTGAGAGGGACATGCATGGGCGAGTGCAAGTTGAATGCACGAACCTGACCAGAGGGCAAGATGCCTCTGAGCCCTGGGGAAGGATGAGGACACACCTGATGCCCAGGTGTATGGGGGGGAGGGCGGAGACTCACACACCTGGGGAAACTAAACTGACTTTGGAAGGGATCACCTACCTATGTCCTGTGAAAAAAGAGGTTTTTCCCAGAGGTCAAGAACTTAGACTAACTGATTCAACTAAGGCCTCGGGGGGCAGGGCCCGAGGAAGACAAGGTGCATGGGATGGAGGAGGGGAAGACCACCTGCTGGAAAGGGGGAAGAAACACGAAAGGAGCGTGAACAGCCAAACTGTGGTGAACACAACTGAATGGCAGTAGACACCTGAGCTCGGGGAAAGGGGTTAATCTCCTGATGGGGAGAAACACCTGCATGGGGATGAGCTTCTTGAGAACACAGACTTTCTCTCTCTTGTTCGCTGCTGTATCTCCATGGTCTGAGATAGTGTGTGACACATAGTAGGCACTCATTAAATGTATGTGGAGTGATTAAATGTGTGAATAATCAGCGGAGTTCTGGTAGGGTGTGGGGTTCATGGGGACGTGACCTCAGGTCAGGCACACTTGAGGCCTGGGTTTGCCTGTGTACAAATATGCACCTTTGAGGGGAGAAATGCATAGAGTTCAGGGAAGAATGGTGGCCAAACCCCAGAACTCTGAAGCCCTGGGACAACCTCTTAAATGGTAGGGGAGACCTTCCTCTTTGGAGTACTGGCCAGTTTCCAGAGCTGTCTGTGTTGGGCTTTGCAGGGCGCTGGGGTGGAGACCTTGACTCCAGTCCCTTCGCTCGCCATGACGGACGGGATCCTAGGGAAGGCAGCCACAATGGAGATCCCCATCCATGGGAACGGTGAAGCTGGGCAGCTTCCTGAGGATGATGGGCTGGAGCAGGTGCTTCTGGTTGATTCTTCGTATTGTTTCAATTGAGGAATCTCAACTCATAAACCCTGAACTCTCACCTCTGTTCCAGTAACCTTCCCCTAACTTACCTAACTCCCTTCAGCCTTTTTACAAATCTTTGTTCTGATTTTGTGCAGACTTCCCTTGTGTGCTCTTTCTGTGATGCTTCAATCCAAGCTTGTTTTCACCCCCAAAATGCTTCAGCTGCCCCTATGTTCCTGAAGCCCCCTCTTCTCTGGCCTATAGGACCTCCAGCAGGTGATGGTGTCAGGACCCAACCTCAATGAAACCAGCATTGTGTCTGGTGGCTATGGGGGCTCTGGTGATGGACTCATCCCCACAGGTATGAATGATCAGAACAGGACAGGGTGCTTGAGCGGAGATGGGGAGAGGGATGGTTCCAGGGAGCATCAAAAGTTCAAAGTGAAGTTGCTCAGTCGTGTCCGACTCTTTGAGACCCCATGGATTGTAGCCTGCCAGGCTCCTCTGTCCATGGGATTTTCCAAGCTTGAGTACTGGAGTGGGTTGCCATTTCCTTCAGGGGATCTTCCTGACCCAGGGATCGAACCCAGGTCTCCTGCACTGCAGGCAGACTCTTCACCGTCTGAGCCACCAGGGAAGCCCTAGATTATGGGAACATAGACTATGTCTAAGAAGGCTTGCATTTTGTTTGGAGATCCTTGGAACCTCTGCTAGTATGAGCCTTATGGAATCTCAGCCCAAAGCCAGCTCCCAGAGTTGGCCTTCTGCTCCCACTTGCAGTTTAGCCCCACTTGTACCTTCCCCTGCTGTCAGTACCTAAGACAAGCAAAGAACTGTTTCACAGCTCTCCTTCCCCCTAACCTGCTCTAGAGCCTGAATCTGATTTGGAACTTTGTGAGGCTTCTCAGAGCTTTAATTTGACTCTTAACATTTAGAAGAACAAACAGTTGTGAATCTCACACTGACTAGAATCAACATGGAAATTGTCAATTGGGTTTTCTGTTTGCCGGACTCACCCTCCATGATCCGTCACCCATACTGGGCCTACTTCCTGCTGTTTCCTCTACCCCTGTACACATGCCGCTCCCTCTTCCCCCCTTTTCCAACCCTCACTTTAAGAAGAGGCCAACGTGTATTGGGATTTGGGTCTCAGGGCACAATATAAGTTCCTCCTAGTGACCAAGAGAATCTAATTGTCTCTAGCTTCTGCTCCTTCAGGGAAGTCATTTTCATGTGCTGGGAGGGGAGTGTGGGGGGAACCACAGAGGTGTCTGATTGTATCTGAGAGAGACTGGTGTCAGAGAACTTGGTCCTTTAGGGTCTGGCCGCCATCCACCTCACAATGCTACTCCTGCTGGCCCTGGAGATGAGGTGGCCCGGGGCATCGCTGGAGAGAAGTTCGACATCGTCAAGAAATGGGGCATCAATACATATAAGGTGGGATTCAGGCACCTCTCCCTTCCCCCAAACTGCCCTGGGTACCTTTTCCCCGTCTTCCAGATCCTAATATCCCAGCTGTGGCTGAGACTCAGAAGCCTGGGGATGCTGGGGTAGGTGCCTTTTGCGGGGGCAGCATGCTAGGGTCTCTGACCTGCTCTCCCACTTCCCATTAGTGCACAAAGCAGCTGTTATCAGAGCGATTTGGCCGAGGCTCCCGGACTGTGGACCTGGAGCTGGAGCTGCAGATTGAGCTGCTGCGTGAGACGAAGCGCAAGTATGAGAGTGTCCTGCAGCTGGGCCGGGCACTGACAGCCCACCTCTACAGCCTGCTGCAGACCCAGCATGCACTGGGGGACGCCTTTGCTGACCTCAGCCAGAAGTCCCCAGAGCTCCAGGTGCCTCGGTCAGGCCAAAGAGGGTGGGGGGACTGGGCCCAGGCCCTCCCAGGCAGTCACCCCTCAGCCTCCCTCCCTCCCTCCCTCCTGCAGCCCAGAGGGAGAACCCCTCCAGGGTGGGCCCAGCCCCGCCCCCAGCAGCACTCACCTGTGGAGGCAGCCTAAGGGTTTGTACAGAGGTCCAGAAGTGGGCGGAGGTGGGGGAGGCGGCACACTAGGTGCCTCACAAGTAACCCTTCTCTGCATTGACGAGAATGCCTTCTGTGCTCAGCCTAATCAGAGCCCCTCCCTTGCCTGCTGCACTAGCTTTCCCTATTCCAGTCCTGTGAACTTATCTGAGACCCCCCCCACTCCCACATTCCTGCCCCAGGGTGGCCCCACTAACTTTCTGGCTAAGAGAGCCTTGCTGGAGGCAGTCCTGACTTGTTCCAGTGTCATTGGCTGTTTCCTCCCGGGAGAGGAGGGGGAGGAAGGGCCCTTTAGCTCCAGCCAGGTGGTGACTGTTACTCAAGGCCTGTCCCTTCCTTCTGCCCGCAGGAGGAATTTGGCTACAATGCAGAGACGCAGAAGCTGCTGTGCAAGAACGGAGAGACATTGCTAGGGGCTGTGAACTTCTTTGTCTCTAGCATCAACACATTGGTAACCAAGACCATGGAAGACACTCTCATGACTGTCAAACAGTATGAGGCTGCCAGGTGTGGGCACTGGCAGGGCCTAGGGTTCTGGGAGTTGGCTGGCATGGGTGAAAGTTTGAGCTTTAGGGGCAAGAGAATTGAGAAAACTAGGAGAGTATGTGTGGAGGGCAAAGGGGTGGAGACCAGCCCATATCACCCCCTCCCCAGGCTGGAATATGATGCCTACCGGACAGACTTAGAGGAGCTGAGCCTAGGCCCCCGGGATGCAGGGACGCGTGGTCGACTCGAGAGTGCCCAGGCCACTTTCCAGGCCCATCGGGACAAATATGAGAAGCTGCGGGGAGATGTGGCCATCAAGCTCAAGTTCCTGGAAGAAAATAAGGTGCTAACCCCACCCCTTTGACCCAGCCCACCTTTCCATCTGTACCACTGACCTTCCCCTCAAACTCCCCATCACTGAATGGGGAAATACATCCTGGCTAAGGAGTGGGAACATCCCCCAGCCCACTCAATCCCTGGACCTTTCCCTGTCACCCTCCCTCTGATCCCTGGCCCTTTTCTACTAGAGGATTTGGCTGCTGATCCCAGGAACACAACTGGGAAAAAACCACCCCTTGAGCTTAGGTGCCAGAACCCCTGGCCCAGCCAGTCAAGTTAGGTTTCTCCTATTACAAGGCTTTTATCCCTTGACTCTCTTGGTGGAGTTCAGCCCCCACTCCAAAAGCAGAATCAGAGCAGTCCGTGTGCCCCTGGTCTGGGTTCAGGCTCATAGCCCCTCAGAAAGGGTGTCTGAGTCCAGTCTCAGCTGACCCTGCTGGACCCCCAGATCAAGGTGATGCACAAGCAGCTGCTGCTCTTCCACAACGCCGTGTCCGCCTACTTTGCTGGGAACCAGAAACAACTGGAACAGACCCTGCAGCAGTTCAACATCAAGCTGCGGCCTCCAGGCGCTGAGAAGCCCTCCTGGCTAGAGGAGCAGTGAGCCACTCCAGCCCAACCTGGCTATCAAGAAGGACATCGGGAGGGGTAGTCCCAGGGTGGGGGAGATTTGGACATGGGACATCCCTTGCCACCTGCACTCTGGCTTGGGTTCCCTTTCCCTGGCTGGGGCCTGACAGGGGGCCTGCAGGCCCAGCAGCTGCAGCCCTGTCCTTTATCTTCCTGGCCACTGGGCTTCATTCCCAGATCTTTTCCTTTCACTCCACAGCCAAAGGCTATGACAAAACCACTCCCTGGCCAATGGCATCACTCCTCAGGCCTATCCCGTTTCTGGGGTGTGCCCCCTGACCAATGGCAGAGCCTCAAAAGGCCCTGTCAGCCAATGGCAGCTCTTCTTGGGCTCCCCTGGGCCAATGATGTTGCCTCCAGTACCCTTTGTCCCTCCTCAATGCGTGCCCATTGCAGAGAAGGGGACTGGGACCAAAAGGGTGGGGATATGGGGAGCCCCATTTTTGGCCGTGCATCTGAATGGGTCTCCCCTCACCTGCCCACCCAGTTTAATTGTGCTTAGAGCCCTGGAAGATTGGGACCTAGCACTAGGAATAAACCTTTCATAAAAGCAGGCCCAGTGAGGTCAATTTGTGGGGGATTCTAGGAGGGTGGTCTGGGTGAATAAATGCTCAGTCTAATCATACATCAAAATCCTATTTCAGGAGAGCTGGGGCCAGATAGCTGAAGTCACACGTTTCTGGAGAGCCTAGTCCCCTCCCCCAGCCCCAGTAGGAGCCAAAGCTTTATTTGCCCTTTAGGCTTGTGCCAGGATAACAATGTATCTTAAAACACAGGGCCCAGAGGGGGTTGGGCCTACCGACCTCCATCATCTGTTCATTCATACAGCAAATATTTACTGTACTGAATGCTTTTATTTGCCAGGCACTGCACGAGACCCTGGGGAGACATCAGGGAATAAAACACGGTCCCTGCTCACAGTGCTTATGGCCTAGTGGGGGATAGAGGCAAGTAACCAGGCAACTACAATACAGTGATAAATACTAGGATACAGAAGTACCGGGAGCTGTGGGAGCACAGAGGATGATGGTGGATGGAGCCTAGATGGATGGAGGTGGGGATGTCAACTTGAAAGCTGAGACCTGAGGGTAACTAAATGACAGCCAGGTAAAGAGTAAGGGGAAGAGCATCTTAGGCAAAGACACCAGTGTATGTGAAGGTCCTGAGTAGGAATTGGGAGGAATTAGCTTGGCAGACATGAAGGGGGAATGGCTAGAGGATGGCTACAGAGGCAAGGTAGCAGATCATGCTGAGCGCTTTCAGGCTGCCTAAGGACTGCCCTTTGAACAGAGAGCTGTTGAAGCCTTATCAGCAGAAATTTGATGGCATGGGGGACATTTAGGGTTGAGGAAAGAAGTCTGTGAGGCTTAAAATAGTGTTCTACAGACCCAAGTCACCTCGTATAGGGTAGTCTCCTAGCCCTGGCCCCAAATTACAGAGCAATCATGAACCCTGAGGCTCATTCACAGGCACCAGAGCACCTGTGCAAGAACTGAGGCAGGTGAAAAGTCAAGGCACTTCCCAGGGTCCCTGCTGCACCCAGGTATTGAGCCCAAACCTGAACCTTGTGTGTTGCAAGAAAGCTCCCTAACAGCATTTTCGTTTAGTCCGGGTCCAGGTACCATTGCCCTATATCTCTTGGCCAAGGAATGCTCCAGAATTCAGCATTGTCCTCTACCTCGAAAGGTGCAGTTATCTGACAAGTTTGATTATTGAGTGGGGTGGTCCACATACAGGCCCCCCTCCAGCTTATGGGGCACTGGGACACTTCAACATGAAACGTTCTGAGGCTCCTAGTGACTGGAGCCAGGACCTACAAGCAGAACTCAAACCCTGTTTCCAGCCCTTTCTACCTGAGTGATCAGGGTTACTGTCTGGGGAGCCGAGGGCCCTCAGTTCTTTCCGTTGTAAAACACGGATAATGAAAGAAGCTACCTATTAAGATGATGAGTATTAAAGAAGATAATATATTTAAAGTGATCCCTTATGTGTCTGGCACATAATAAGCAGTCCCTGCTAACAGTTACACTTATTATTTTCCACCGGGACTAGTTTTCCACAATGCGATGATTCTGAGAATCGCTCTGGTCTTGGATGGTGGAAGGGAGTCGCTAGATGGCCTGAACCATAATTTCCTCGCGAGGGGCTCCTGAGGGAGAGCCAGGCACCTTGAGCCAAATCAAGCCCCATCTTTCTCGGCCGTCAGCCCCTTCTCCCAGAGCCCTGGGTACTGCCCTTCCACTTTGGGGCTCTTCCGTCGCCCAGAGATCCGCGCCGAGGCACAGGTGATTCCTGTCTCCCCCCGCTCAGCAGAGACCACACTAGCATAGTTCGTAGGAGCCCCCCAAGACAGCCTGGAAGGGCACCTCCAGGAGGCAGCCCTTACCCGCTCCCAGAGTCCGAACACCCTGCTGCCCAGCCGCCTTTTCGTAATGGAGCGTCCGCCCAGTCCCTGAGACCGACTACGCTGCCGTTTCCTGGAACCGTCGGGAGTCAGAGGCAGCTGGCGGGGATCGAGGATCCGGGATCCGGGATCCGGGATCTGGCTCTGGCTCAAGGGTTGCCCAGCCCGACCGCGAAGGAACCTCCTGCAGGAACCTCAGGGGAGTCGGGGGATCTGAGCGGGTGGGGTAGGGGCGGGCGGGGCCTCCGCGGCGGCGGGCGGGGCGTGGGTGGGTCTTCGGTCTCCGAGCCGACCCCTCCCCCGGCTGGTCTGCAGCCCCGCCCCGGCCCCTCCCTCCGGCCTGTGCGGCGGGTCCGGCGGCGGCGCCGGCGCGGGGACAGGCGGAGGCGCGGGACGTGGGGCGGCGCCGCGGGCACGGCCGGGCGGACGGGCGCTGGCAGCAGGGGCAGCGCCGCGGGCTCCTCGGAGTGGCCGCAGTCCGGGTCTTGGCCCTCCTATCTTGCCTGGCCGCGGTGAGTGCGACGGGCGGCCCCCAGGGGTGCGTTTGTGTTCCTGTCTGCCCGGGTCCGGGTCTGGATCGGAGCGGTGATGTGTCTGTCCGAGTGGCTGTGGGTGGGGGCATAGATGCTTTTCAAAAGCTGTGCCTGTCTCTGTCCACGTGAGGCGTGTCCCTGTCCGTGAGAGCCGTGGGGGGATTCTTCGGGCTGTGGCTGCTCACGTGAGGTCCATGTTTGAGGGGGGAGGCGCGGGTGGATGGGTGATGGTTCCTTGGAAGAGCGCAGGGTTTGGGAGCTTGTGTATATTGGCGGAGGGTGTCGAACCGTGCGGCCGAGGATGATGGGGGGTGGGGGCGCGGGTGGGGTTGCTGAGTGGGACTCTGGAATCTAGTGGCCCAGCTTGTCTGAGGGTTCCTTTCTCCCTGGTGCAGACACTTCCACCCCTTGCTACCTCCTCCGTCCTCAGGCACCTAGAGGCCCATCGGCGGGTATAGAGGACACCCTTTCCTCCTCTAGCCCTGGCCTCAGGACGGGCAGCCTCATCCGGAGGTTGTTTCTTGTAGGAAAGGACCCTTCTGTTTCCCATGCAGCCAGGGCCCCTCCTGGAGGACCCCAGGCTCCTCCCTGGTTCTGGCCTCCTCCCTTCGGGGCTTGGCTTCAGATCATGGGCTGCAATCCTGCAGGGACAGATGGTTGCAGGTTGGAGGGGCAGGCTGCACCCCAGGGAGGTCGGTCCGCTAAAGGCCGGTCCTGAGCTTGTTCTTGTGCAAGGGTCTCTGATGTGGAAAGCATAAACCAGGACTGGCCCCTGAAGGGAGATGAGATCTGGGAGGCTAGAGCAGGTGCAGAGGTCTTTTCACAGGTCTCTCCCTGCCTGTCTGTCCAGCTCATCAGTGCCCATTCATCCCTAAGCAGGGCTGTGATTTGCTGCAGAATTGGAATCAGCTGCAGGCCTGACAGGTGCCCTGCCTCCCTTGGCTTGCATGCCTCCAGTGACAGAGCACTTACTACCTTCTTCTATGGGGAAGCTTCTTTATGTTGGGTGGAGGTCCTTTTCCTTGGAACTTTGTTCCCTTGTCTTGTTATTGCCTTTGATTTTGCCTCTCTGTTTGGTGAGAGGAAACTGCAGTGATTTAAACATGGCTCTCTTGTCACCAACATATACTGAGCACCTCTGCGTGCCAGGTGCTGCCTCAGCCACTGAGGGGACAAGGGCATCCTTGCTGAGAGAAAAGCCTGAGCGAAGGCCCATAGTTTGTATAGTACTTGTGTTCAGAAAAATAGAGCAAAATCATTTTGCTAGGGTAGAGGGTGTTCAGAAGGAGTGTCATTGGTGACCTTAACTCAGCAAGAGAGGTAGACAACTACAACCACTGTCTAACACACCTAGCCTTGCTGTGAAAACCAGAAATCAAATATTCAAGGTTGTACAAGGTTGGATTTGATCATGGACACATATTACAATCTGTAGAGATCTTTGGCTGGACAGAGAACCTTGGGAACCTCAGATTTGGGGAAGAAAAAGATATGCCCCCCCCCCCCGCCCCCGCCCCACACACACACAGAATTTGCAAGTAAGGGGATGGAGTAGGAACTTGTCCAGAGTCTTACCTTGCATTAGTGAGGTTAGTGAGAGTCAGGACTAGCCCTTGAATCTCCTGACCTTTAATCAAGACACATTTTAGGAACAGAAGCAAGGATGTAGTCATAGCGTATATCTGAAAATTGAAGGACTTGAAGGAATTGAGAAGACTCCCAGGATTCTGGCTGATGGAGCTAGATGGATGGTGGTGGCTTTTATTGAGATGAGAGATGCAGCGAGATGAATAGGTTAGGGGAAAGTGAAGTCAGTTTTAGACTAGTCTCTAGCATCATCCCTGTACAGATATCCTAGGTACAGCTAGATATACAGGTCTGGGTTCAAAAAAGTTTTCTGCATAGGAGATAAGACTTTGGGAGTTGTTAGCAAGTGGATGGTAACTGAAACCATGGGAGATGGTGAGATCTCCCAGATTATGAAAGTGAGGGGAGAAAAGGCCCTAGAACAAAGCCCTGAGGAATTAGACAGATAAG